TAGGCAGTTACCTTGCCCTGAGTCAGTCATTTACCTTGCCACCCCTTTGCTGATTTCCTCAGGCTGCCCAAGGAAATAATAATCCATCAAAACAGCTCAATGCTCTGCTGCTCCAGCATTCTCTCATCCTTGACACCCAACCATGCAACTTGAGGTCAATTTAGGGAATTTATGGCCCTCTTTCTTTCCCATAAGAATTGTTCTCATAAAAGATTGAAGAGTGGGACCACTCAGCCATACTTGCATTGCCTCCTCCCCTTACTGTTTGGGATGAGTTCCTCTGTCTATCCTCAACAGAGTTGCTAGAAAATATTACAAGACAAATCTCTGCTTTCAGGTTAAGACCCTATTTCCTCTCACATGGATGGGGGTTATGCTACTCCAGTTATGCAACAGATTTCTGCCCAGCACCACATCTAAGACAATGGGAGCTTTGCCTAACCATTTGTGTCTTAAGATGGGCTATTGCCTCTTTGTCTTGGTGACACATGCTAAGACATAAATTTTTATCGAATGCACAATTCAAAAAGATGTTCTCTCAGGATTTGGCACATTTGTCTTCTGCAAGTGACTAATATGGTCTTTGTATTACTATAGTGAAATATCTAATTATTTTTTTAAAAAGCTCAGTTAGCCCATAGTTTTGGAGGCTAGAAGTCCAAACAACATGGCCCTGTTGGGTGAGGATCTCTTTTGGCTGCTTCAGCTCATGGCAGAGTGGTGGAAGATGTGTGGGAGAAAGTACTTCACTAGACAGGAAGTCAGAGAGAGGCCAGGGTTCCATACCCCTTCCAAGAGCATGCCTTCACCTTCAATTGTTCTGAAGGCCTCTTTCTGGGTCCTACCTCTTAAAGGTCCCATCTGCACTTTAAGGGCAGTCTTCAACACACGCAACTTTGCAGGACAAGCCATACCCAAATCACAGCAGATTCAAAGTAGAGTTTCTCTAGTCAAAGTAGTCTCTTCATGACTCCACCTCAAAACCAGTATCTGGGCTCAATAGAATAGTAGTTTATTTATTTCCCTCTCCCCTTATCAACCTTCCTTAAGCCCTTTAGTTGCAAAAGCAGATAGGTAGGGTGTTATAGATGTTCAATTCTAACCTAAGAAATTTAGATACAGATTTGCTTAATCTTGTTATTAGGAAACTGCTGTTTAAACATACTCTCCCAGTCTATTCTACAGTGGAGGGTGTGTATATGTGCTTCAGTGATTGAAATTTTAAAAAGCTTTGAAGTCCCTCTGGACTAGGAAGAGAACTTGAAGCTATTCAGTCCTACAACTACTAATTTTCTCCTGAGGAATTTGGGACTTACTTGTTTACTTACTAATATAGAAATTAAGGTTTAAATCTACATTTAAGTGACATGCCAGAGTGACACAATTATTAATATATTATATATAACATATATATTATATATTATAATTATTAATCCAAGTTCTAGCTTTCTCTGAAACCAGACTTGCCTAAGATCTCCATCAAAAGACTCCACAACCTGTTCTGAAAACACAATATACAGCCGCCCCCATGAGAGGATTGTCTAGGCTGGGTTTAGACCCACACTGAGTTGTATGATCTTACACAAGTTATTGAATCTCTCTGGGCTTCAGACTCACCATCAGTAGATCAAGAATAAAACAACTCACAGGGATACCTGGAAGAGTGACACACGTAAGGGTTTCATAGAGCAGGAGCTAACAAAGGCACTTGATATATGCTTTGGATTGCATGCTCAATTATCGATTTATGTGCATCTGTTTTTCTCAATTACTTTATCCCTTTGTCCCCAATCACATTTATAATCTTTCATTTATCATCACTTCAGGAGAAGTAGGGAGAAGTAAACTACCCACCTTCCTGAATTTGTTCTTCCAAAGCCTAATCCTAAAGTTCAATAAGGAAAGAATCCTGGATATACACTAAAGGTCTTGGCAAGAAGCTGAGGTGGGGTGGGGGACACACAAAATAAAGAAAGGGAAATTTTCCTGGGAATGGACTTTGAGTTTTTGGAAAAGAGAGCAGAGTAAGATCATTAGGTCTTAAATGAAGAAGACAGCAGGGCCCATATTCCTAGGGCCTGGGATTGTCTGCAAAGACGCAGACAGAAAATGAAGGGGGGACACTCAGGAGGCTACCCAGATGCAGATGATGGTGGTCATCAGGACCTTCCCTCCACATTTTTTTTTTTGCTTATTACAATACTCTCCAAATGATGGCAGAATCCCAGGTATTTGGAGGGCCCAATCTTCTGTGAGGAGGGCCCCAGGAATGAGGCTAATTTTCTGCTCCAAGGAAGGGAAGTTTGAGGTCAGAAATTAAGTTGTATTACAGAAAGTGAACCATCCAGTACTCCTTGCAAACGTGGTGGGGAAGCCACTGGGGCTATTTGTGGCCAAGAGGAGGAAGTTGTTTTTTTTAATTTTATTTTGTTTACCCTTCACATCCCTTCCCAGCCTCCCCCCCCCCAAAGAGGAGGAAGTTTTACTTGCCTGTACCTCACATGTACCTGAATACACAGCACACCCCCACACTGGTGGGGGTGGGCAGCAGAAGGTCACGCCTTCTCCCAAAGACTTACCTAGATTGTTGGTGTCTGTAAAGAATATGCAGCAGAGAGGAATGAAGAAAGGCCTGTAGGGAAGGACAGAATCCTTGGAAATCTTGACCACTCAAGCCATCTGCAACTTATACTGTCCTTGGATTTCTTTGTGCTGGTTATTACTGCCATCTAGTGGCAGTAATTTTGGAACTAAAACACTTTGAACTAAAACACTCAAGGCAATGAACTGATTTTCTTTCCTATATTCTTTCCTTCCATTATTTATCTGTTCATTCATGCATTTCTCCTACAAAAATCTTATGAAGACAAGCTGTAAATGGCCAGTCCTCATGAATAAAATAAGGACATATAGTAACAAGAGATAAAATCTATCTCCAGGCCCTCTGAAATTTACACAAGTGAGGGAAGGCAGCTACAAATCAAATAAGAAAATTAAAAAGTATGCCAGGAGTGTAATCCTAGCTACTGAGGAGGCTGAGAGCAGAGGACTGCAGTTCAAAACCAGTCCAGGCAGGAAAGTCTGTGAGACTCTTATCTCCAATTAACCACCAGAAAACTGGAAGTGGTGCTGTGGTTCAAGTGGTAGAGCACTAGCCTTGAGCTGAAGAGCTGAGGGGCAGTGTCCCGGCCCAGAGTTTAAGCCCCACGACTGACAGAAGAGGGGGAGGGGGGGGGGGGGGGGGGGGGGGGGGGGGGGGGGGGGGGGGGGGGGAGAATGGGGAGGGAGGAGGAGGAGGAGGAGGAGGAAGAGGAGGAGTAGGAGGAAGAGGAGGAGGAAGGAAGGAAGGAAGGAAGGAAGGAAGGAGGAGGAGGAGGAGGAAGAGGAAGAAGAAGAAGAAGATGATGATGACGAAGAAGGAGAAGGAGAAGGAGAAGAAGAAGAAACAGGAACTTTACTGGTTGAGAGTGGGACAGAAATGAAGGATGACTTCCTAAGAAGATGCTGATTGTCTGACATGCTGGAAGATAGAAGAAGACCGTGAGAATAGTCAGAAAACTGAGGCACAAGGTGGGGAGATGTGTTGAGAAGGTTTGGTGCTCACATTGTACTAGTACCTAGTATCAGTTTCTGATTTCTGAACTAGATCTGTAGTTGTAGCTTATAGTAACTAAAGAGGATTTTTATTTTATTGACTTTAAGTAGTTATACAAAAGGGTTTCAATTCAACATGTCAGTTTGTAAGTATAATGTATTTTGTTTAATGTCACCTCTTTTACCATTCTCTCATCTCTCCAACCTCACCCATCCCCTCAATTTCCCTAGTTCCATTTTTACACATACACATTTATTAAGACTGAATTATCCTACTCTTCATCCCTCCGTTTGTCTACTCTCCTCCCTTTGACCTCACCCTCCTGACACCTCAAGCCCCAGCTTCCTGGTATTCATTTTGTAAGAATGTAAGTTAGTGTCTATGGAGTTTTTAGGATTTAGGGGAACACGGTGCTATGGGTTGAGCCCAGGGTCTTGTGCAAGCTAGGCAAAACACTCTAACACTGAGCTTCAGCCCCCAGACTTGTCTTACCTGTGAGCTTATATGACTGTGCAATGCTTAGGTGAGAACCTTATGTGTAGATAAGTTTTTATAAATTTAAATATTACAAAGACACAAACTCTAGGTATTGTAACATGTATATTTAAAGCCAATGTGCAACAATGGACTATTTGATTTTAAATAATATGCTTTGTAATGTGAAAGTTCAACACTTTATATGACAATATATTGGAAAAATTCTCCCCATCTTGGTGTTTATTTCAGACATGATGACATAAAATAAAGATCAAATGATATGTTACTGGTGAAATAAAGGTAGAAAGTCCACTCAGGGTACTGTGAGAATGTCTGGAGACCAAGTCTAGGACAGAATGGGTCCCCTAAAACTAAGTAGCAAGAAAAGCCCATTGCTATGGAGACAATTCTCTCAATGAAGGGCTGAGAACAAAGGGGAAGTATAAGAAAAGCCTTGGGATTCTGAAGAGTAATTGGAAGCCTGGCAGAGGCATTGCATGAAATCAATCCATTATTTCTTTTTCTTTTCAAAATTATCCCAGAGAAGTTTTTTTGGCTCTTAAACTTTTTTAAAATAAAATTTAAGAGACATAGCATTGTAATGCACATGACAATATTTTACCAAACCCTAAAAATTAGCATAAACTTAAGCTTTCTCATAGTCAACCGATCATTGCAAGTTCATTTTTCTCTTAGAATTCATGAGAAGCAATAAAGAGAGGGCATGAGGTTGCGAGAGAGCATCGATCAATTTGCTCTCTTTTAGCCTATGGAATTCATTATTAATTACCCGCTAAGGAATGGCGGACCACAACAAAGATGGAGGCGCTGGCTTCACCATGGCAACATCAGCCCAGTGCATTCTGGGACACGTCGCACGTATGCAGTTCCGGCCTGTTTGTTTGACATCACTTCTGGCCCCGGGATGGCGGCGCGCACAAGTCTTTCTCCTGGTGTGGCGAACTTAGGGCGGAAGAGATGCCGCCCCTGAGAGGCCTCCCCGCGGGCCTCGGAGCGCTCGGCCGCGCCGGCACCATGGAGAGCGAAGGCGGGAGCTCGGCGGCTGTTCTTGCCGTCGTGACTGAACGTCGGTTTGCCCAGCGATACCGGGAATATCTGGAGCAGTGCGAGCTCTTGGATCGCCGGCACCGTGTGGCAACCGTGGCCGGCGGCGCCGTGGCGATCCCGGTGCTGGGGGAGACCCTCCCCGAGCCGCACCTGCAGGAGCTGAGGACTCGCGTGGGCCCGGGGAGCTCTTGTGTGCCCACGCGGCTCCCGCATCCCGCCCCTTCCAAGAAGGCCTGGGGATGTTCGCCTGCCCAGAGACTGTGTCGTGAGTTGAGATGCTGGGCTGAGCGCCGGGGAATGACATGGTCAGCCGAGTTAGAGGCCGATTTGCCCCGATCTTGGCAACGGCATGGTGACCTCTTGTTGCTGAATGGAGACTGTTTCCGAGCCAAGCCATGGGAAAGTCTGGAACCAGAACTCTGGGAGGTTGTTGCCTCGGCCCTTGGTGTCCAGCGTTTGGCCAAACGAGGACGGGTGTTACCTGATGGCACGCGAACGCCAGCAGTGACACTGTTGCTAGGTGACCACGGCTGGGTAGAGCACGTGGATAATGGTATCCGTTATAAGTTTGATGTGACTAAGTGCATGTTCTCCTTTGGAAACATCACCGAGAAGCTGCGGGTGGCATCGCTGCCCTGTGCTGGGGAAGTGGTGGTGGATCTCTACGCTGGGATCGGTTATTTTACATTGCCTTTCTTGGTCCACGCTGGTGCTGCTTTCGTCCATGCCTGTGAGTGGAACCCCCACGCTGTAGCTGCGCTGAGAAATAACCTGGAGCTCAATGGAGTAGCAGATCGGTGCCAAATACACGTTGGGGATAACCGGAAACTAAAACTTTCAAGCGTTGCAGACAGGGTGAACCTGGGGCTGATCCCCAGTTCAGAGGAAGGCTGGCAGGTAGCCTGCCAAATGCTCCGACAGGAGACTGGGGGCATTTTGCATATCCACCAAAACGTGGAGTCTTTCCCAGGAAAGAATCTTCAGACACAGGGAAGCAACCAAATGGAGAAAGAACACAGGCCATATCCTCAGCAGATTATCACCAACGAATTGGAAAATAGAGATTCCAGGGATTCTATGAGAAAAATAACATCATCAGCTACTAAGCTAGAGTGGCAGAAGTGGGCAGAATCTGCAGAAACCCGAATTGCCAGTCTTCTTCAGCAGGTGCATGGAAAACTGTGGAAAACACAAATCCTGCACATCCAACCAGTGAAATCCTACGCTCCACATGTGGCTCATATAGTGCTGGATCTGGAATGCCGCCCCTGTCCTGTAGTTGGTTAGAGGAGGTACATCCAGTAACTCAAGGGATCCATGTGAGTGGCCCTTCATGCTTCTGTTCAGGATAAGTTCTCACCCCTTTTATTTCCTGGTGGTGGTAGTGGTGGTGGTGGTGGTGGTGTGTCCTGTTAGCAGGCTGTAGATCACATCAAATTATCAATGAAATTGGGCACGCTGAGCAAGTATTTGAGAAAACTAGTGTGGCTCATAAGAAGCTCATTTGTGCAATCATGAACTGTGAATTAAATGCCTTAGGTATGCGGTTTTGCTATTCATTTGGTCGTGGACTTCCTTATTTCCAAATAAGGAATTTCTTTGGAAACCCCCTGGTGAACAATATTAAGGACCATAAAAGAAGATATAGCAGGGCTGAGAGTGTAGCTAGTGATAAGAGTGGTGGAGACAGAAATAGGATCAAAAGTCTGAATGCTCAGAAAACGAGTCATCCTTGGACAGTTTGGAACTGAGGAGGCAGTGATGTGTGTTGAAGAGGTATGCGTTGTCATGAGGACTAAAAGGCACTATGTGTAAATTCGCTGGGAAATGTTAGCTCTCATGTGATCCTACTGTAGAAAGCAGCCTGCCTATTTCTATGTCTCTGGATGCCTTCCTGTGTTTTCCCTAATCATTTGCTTAGCTACATGCTTTCTTTTCACTTGTGTGCTTACAAATCACTGTATTCAAACTAAAATGATAAGGAGGGCAACCTGGGGACTTGAGCCAAAATGGGGAAAATGAATCAAGAGAGCAACATTTGAGGATTAAGGATTGCCTTTTTGACCTAGGTTGTAGACAAGGAGTTGGTGTAAGATACAGCTGGTCAAATTCACTTGAAGGGGGCTGGGAAGGTGGCTCAGTGGTAGAGTGCTTGCCTTGCATGCATGAGGCCCTGGGTTCGATTCCTCAGCACCCCATAAACAGAAAAAGCCAGAAGAGGTGCTTGGCTCAAGTCATAGAGTACTAGCCTTAAGCTGAAGAGCTGAGGGACAGCACCCAGGCCCAGAGTTCAGGCCCCAGGAAAAATTACCTGCAAGATTACTCAATCATTTGATCACACGAAATTTCACAGAGACCAGAAACAGTGTCAAAATAGTGTCTATAGATTACTAAGTTACTATAGGTTATACTATGAGGACAGAAAAGAATACCATCAATATCCAGCATCTGTTGACACAGTATCAAATACAGTGGATGACTTCCAAACAGCAGAGGAATAATCTCTACAGAAGCAACAGGAGGCTGGGCGCTGGTGGCTCACGCCTGTAATCCTAGCTACTCAGGAGGCTGAGATCTGAGGATCGCGGTTCAAAGCCAGCCCGGGCAGGAAAGACCGTGAGACTCCTATCTCCAATAAACCACCAGAAAACCGGAAGTGGCGCTGTGGCTCAAGTGGTAGAGCTCTTGCCTTGAGCTGAAGGCCCTGGGTTCGATTCCTCAGCACCCCATAAACAAAAAGAAAAAAGCCGGAAGTGGCGCTGTGGCTCAAGTGGTAGAGCTCTTGCCTTGAGCTGAAGAGCTGAGGGACAGCGCCCAGGCCCAGAGTTCAAGCCCCACGACTGACAAAAAAAAAAAAAAAAAGCAACAGGAACACTGTCAAAAAGTGACAAGGTAATAGCAGGGTATGGTAACACATGGCATAGGTAGGAAAAATGAGGTGCTGAGCAGGCAGGCCCCCGAGAAAAATGCAAGCTCTATGTGGAAAATGGCTATTTGAAAAAGGAAGTTGGGGGGTATGGCTCAAGTGACAGAGCACTTAACAAGCACAAGACTGAGTTCAAATCTTAGTACTGCCAAGAAAGTTTGTTACCTCTACTCCTTCTCTTGGCAGTATCTTAGTACTCAGAAAAGGTCTGATCACCAGCCTACATTAACATTTACTTTTCATTTATATCCTAATATTAAGTTCTGCTTAATTACCACCTCAAAAACAATTCTAGCTGATCCTTACAGTACTCATACTATTGGAGTATATGCCTTGTTTACCAATCCCTACTCTTCTCACCTGCACCTGCATTTGCCACTTCAAATACATAGGCCATTGTTGTGTGTGTATGTGTGTAACTCCAGTGCTTGTTTCTCATTTCTCTCCCACTAAGGAAGCTTAAGTTCAGAGACATGATTTATAAAGCTTAACTGAGTAGTTTCACCTGAAATCTTGAGAAACTGTCCTCTTATTAAATTTCTGTATTAATACAGCCAAAAATCAGATTTTTGTTAGTGAACAGTGACTTGATGAGTATCCACAGAAAATTCAATCTAGGTTTTATACATCTGCCATCTAAAAACTGAAAGCTACTAAAAGCCTTTTGAATTGTTGAAGATAAATGAAGAGATGATGTTTTAAAAATGTTTTTTGGTGGTAGTGGTATTGGGTTTGGATTCAGGGCCTTCCCACCTGAGCTCCACTCCCAGCCCCCCTCACGTTGCAGATAGGGTCTCGTGATTTTGCCTCAGACCTCAGTCATCCTACCTGTGCCTCCCAAGGCATGTTTTGAAAGAAAATTTCACTTTTTTGGTCCTGGCTACTCTCAAACCACAATCTTTATCTTTTCCTCTCCCTTATATCTGAGATTACAGGCTCAGTTTTTTTGAACACAAGTATTCTATGTACAAAGTTGGTGCATTGGTATGAATGTACACATACACACACAGAGCTCTTAATAGACTTGATGTAAACATATACCATAAATTGTGCAGCATTTGAGTCAATGTAGAAACAAGCAAAGATTGGATTCAGTATATTGCAACTATTTCTTTGAAAGCCTATTTTTTTTGGGGGGGGTGGTCATGGGGGCTGAACTCTGGGCCTGGGTGTTGTCCCTCAGCTCTTCAGCTCAGTGTTAGTGCCATACCACTTGAGCCACAGCACTACTTCCAGCTTTTTCTGCTTATGTGGTGCTGAGGAATTGAACCCAGTGCCTCATGCATGCGAGGCAAGCACTCTACCACTGAGCCAACTTCCCAGCCCCTGAAAGCCTATCTTTTAAGAATTCCTGGGGTCCTGAAAGCCTGTCTTTTAAGAATCCCTGGGGTTCTGAAAGCCTATCTTTTAAGAATTCCCAGAGCCGGGACCCAGAGTTCAGGCCCCATGACCACCAAAAAAAAAAAAAAAAATCCTAAGCATTTTATGTTACTTCAACAGTATTAAAGGTATTATTTTAAAATACTTGCCATATAGTTTAGTTACACCTTCACTTTATAAATGAAGAAAGTTTTAAAAAGACTTACTGGGCAGAACTGCCTCACACATGTCATCCTTAGCTACTTAGGAGGCTGAAAGAGAGCCAAGGTTTAAGGTAAGCCCAGGTATACACACCAAAGACCTCTGTGGAACTTTCAGCTGCATGGGAAGATAATATTGGGAAGAATGCAGGCCCAGGCCACCAGGGCAGAAAAGTCTGCAAGTTTGTGTTGACATGTACCTGTCATCCTAGCTATGACAGGTAGCTCTTATTCCTGGGAAGGGAGACCTTATCTCAAAAATAACCATTGCAAGCCAGGCAACAGTGTCTCATGTCTATAATCCTAGCTACTCAGAAGACTGAGATCTGAGGATCTTGGTTTGAAGCCAGCCCAGGCAGGGAAGGCCAAGAGACTTATCTCCAGCTAACCACCAGAAAGCCAGAGTGTAGCTCAAAGTAGTAGACTGTTAGTGTTCCTTGTGTACAAAAGCTCAGGACAGCAGGCAAACCCTGGATTCAAGACCAACAATGACAAAAAAAAAAAAAAAGCAAAAAAAGAGAAATGAGTGAAAAAAGGTCGTGGTTCAGCCATAAGAGTGTCTATCTAGCAAGCATAAGGCCATCAACTCCAACTGTAGTACTGCCAGACCCAATAAATATAGAGACTTGCTTGAAGTTCTATATAAGAAAGGATGCTTATATCACCACCTGAAAGATCTTGGCCCTGACAGAAGTTAGCCTGAGTTAGGAACCCCTTTAAAAGGAGGCCTTCATAAATTTTGTCATCTTGCTCAGCGGCCATCTAGTTCTCATGGTATCTTTCGTATATCGCTATGTATTATAGTGAGCCTACAGACACTCTTATATCTGTTCACCAAATTAAGATTAGAAACAATACAACATTGATGAGGACTGAAGCAATTGTTCGTTTTAAAAAACTTTTTATTTAATGTTTGCATTTAACTTTTAAAAAAATAAAAAATAGAGGAAAACCATTGAACTACTTTATTTTCCATTTTGCACAATCACAATATAATGGTATTCACCTCCTGTGTCCTCTGTCATAATCTTGTTTGAAATTAGTCCTTGTGGACCTTTTTTTCCATAATGGCTTCATTCTTTCAGCTTGAAATTCCACTCAGGGCTGAGTAAGAGATGAATTGAATAGCTTATTTATTTCTGTAATTACCCAATTAGTAGATAATTTGCATAGGTCTTCATAATTCTCTCACCTTTTACCAAGTTTGTTTTCCTTTGGGAATTTTGCCATAAGTACAAAGTTATTCCCCAGAGACACAGTTTAGGAAAACAGATTAGATTTGAGGTGAATCACAATGAGGGCATTGCAATAAACCAAAGTACAGTAGGGAATTGAACTAAGATGTGATGATAGCATTAGAAAGACACTGTGAAGACAGAGTAGAAATGATTCAGTGTAGAAGTGGCTGTAAGTAAAAGAAGAAATCAAAGATGCCAAATTTTTACCTTACAACTTTGGATTCAAATCTTAGGTTTAACTCTTGGCAGTTTGGGGCTTACTAGCAACCCACTACTTACTACCTTTGTGATCTTGCAGTTTATCTAAACTCTAATTTCCTTTGTAAAACAGGTGTAATACCCCCCAGAATAGGCCAATGCAAAGACTCCATTAAAAGGTAAAACCCTGGACACAGTACCTAGCATATAGTAAAAGCCCTAGATAGATGGGGAGAGGGAAATGAAGTTTTGTTTGTTGTTTTTTTTTTTAAACAAACATGGCTGAAGAGAGGGCGCTGGGTGAAGGGTTCAGTTTTTACACTACTTACGGAGTAGGACTACAAGGAGTACCACGCCTGACAGAAATGTCCTGTAAGAGTTGGGTAATTCTGCTAAGGATCTCCCCCAATGCAAGGGGTACTGGTAAAGGATCGCACCAACAGGAGGCGGACAGACACGAGACTGCAGGAGACACTCTGGACGCGGAGCCCTGGGGAGTCAGGCTTTCTGCTTCCTATTGAAGAAATGAAAAAGGAGCAACAAGACTGACACGCAAGAAGAATGGACTCACCGGCCCCGAAGAGGAAGAGACTGTCCAGGTGCGCCGGCCTCAGAGACGCGGAGGCATGGGACGGGCGGGAGGCCCCGCGGCCGTGCCGGCCCTCTGCTCTGCCTGCTGGCACAGGGGTGGAGGCTGGAAGGGAAGCGTGCACAGAGATGAAGGGGAGGTTTACCTTGGCGGCGCCCACCGCACGTAGCCCAGCACCACGTCCGGCCGCCGTCCACGCAGGCTGGCCGTGACACCGCCGGACCGTCGGCCCCGGCTCCGGCGCGGCCTCCGCGGCCTGTCCGCTCAGGGGGGCGGGGGGGGGGGAAGCACGTCGGGACACTCGCTGGGCGCTAAGCAAACTGCGAACGCTTGCCCCCGCGTTAGCGCCGGGTCTCCCGCGCGCGCCTCGGGGGCGGGCCGAAACCATGGGAACGCTCCGAGGCTGTGCGCCCGGCGCGACGACGGCCTGAGAAGCGCCGGATTGTGACGCAAGCAGCGGCGCGGGCTTCCCGTTCTCGCGCGACCGCGGGCCCAGCCTCCGGGCCTCGCCACCGCAGCCAAGGCCGAGGCAGGCGGGGTCAAGATGGTGGCTCCGCGGGCGGGGGAGGCGGTGGAGGGAGGAGGAG